CAACTCCCTTGTCCATCTTAAGGATTCTCTATGCTATAAGCACAGCGGTTTTCAGTATCCGCTGGCCTTGTAACATGAGAATCCTTTTTGTCGGGATCATAAGTTGTGGCCACTGTGTGAAATCGATATGTGGCCATAATTCATGTTCCCAACAATCAGAATTTCACATGTTATAAAACCAACGAATTCTGAAAAAGGGCCATCCTGAACAACGTCCTCCTCCTCCTCCTGATCCTCGCCTCGCGTTGTTTCGCTGAAGTGTGTGGAGTTGTGGCGGAGTTAAGGGAGGCCGTCTGCAGAATGAGCTGTCCTCGTAATTTGCGAAATCCGTAAGCTGGAGAGCCGAGTTGTCGGCGACGTTGGCAAAAGGGAAGCGACAAAACGGCTCTTTGCTAAAAGGAGAGCGACAACTCGGCTCTCTGCAAAAAGGAGAGCAACAACTCGGCTCTTTGTCAAAAGAGAGCGACAACTCGGCTCTTTGCAGGCCGCAGCTCGGCTTTTTGCAAAAAGGGAAGCGACGGCCCGGCTCTTTGCGCAAAGGGAAGCGGCAACCCGACTCTTTGTGCGAAGAGAACAGCAAGTGAGCTCGTTCAGAAAAGGATTGCCTGTCGAACAAGATGGCGACGAGGAGGAGGAGGACGAGGGGCAACAGGAGGAGAGACAGGAGAAGGACGAAGGAAAGGACTGGGATGCAAGAGGGAGGAGGAAGAGGAATAATAACAAAAGGATCATAAGGGCGAAGAGGAAGCGCATAACGAGGAACACGAGGACGAGGAGAATGAGCTGGAGCAAAGAGAGGAAGAGGGCCGAAGGATAAGATGGGAAGGAGGGGTGATGAAACGGAGGAGGAGAAGGAGGGGGAGGAGTAGGGGGGGGAGAGGAAGAAGGGAGAACAAGGAAAACAAGCAGAGGGGCAAGGTGAATTACGAAGAGGACGAAGGTGATGTTGATGATGAAGATGTTCAAATACCTGTGATGACGATGCACTCATAATGCGAATTATGCTCATTGCTTGCGAAAGCGATGAGAATGTCAGTGGCGGCGGTGAGAATTAAGCTGCCCCTCAGGTCCGCAGGCGCGACCCGTCGGCGCCGAGAACTTCCGGCCCCAATTCATTGAGGACTCTCCGGGCTGAGACAGCCCAGTCCACCGCGTCCCGGAGCGCGAGCGAAGAAACGCCGCCAGAGGCAGTCGCGCCGACGGCGTCCACGACGATCTTGCCCCCAGGCGCGCGAGCGATGCGCCGCAGGGCGGCGCGCGCAGATGGAAACTCCACGTCGAGCCTCTCCTCAACGCGGAGCGTGGCCCTATGGTCGCACGCCCGCGCATGCCTGAGATGCTGACTCGGCAATAGACGACCTGGGATGCAACTGGCAGCAGCCAGTTGGGCTCTGGCGACGACATCCAGGCCGAGCGCCGCGACGTAGAGGAACGGCGCCGCCACGTCCACGTCAGCGGCGAGCGACGCCGCGTCGTGAAGAAGTGAAAGATCTCTGACGACAACCAGATTTCCTTCCGCGCATCTGCGTGGCCATCTGCGCGGCCCCGTCACTTCTCTGGGCCCCTTCGCTCGCGCGTCCCCAATCGCGCCAGAGGCAGTGGGCGCCGCCGCCTTGCCGCGCGGAGATGGCCCCGTCGGCGCCGCGCGAGCGCCCCGACAGGCGCCGAGGTCAACGGCCGGCCGTTTCAGGAAAACGCGCCCGGCGCGGCCCAGGCCTGCGTCGCGCCGGGGGTGTTGCGCAGAGATCGTGGATGAAACTTCTGCATCGCATCATTCCACCGAGTGCTGCGAACCGCGCCTGCGCCAGGATGCAGCGCTGCACCGGCTGCGCGCGCTCTTGCGCCGCGCGGCCGAGCGAGCGCCAGCGAGGGCGCCGACAGCGGCGCGGCGCAGAGGACCTCTTAACGAGGCGGCCCTCCTCAGCGTGGCCGCGCGCGCGGAGGCAAAGTTAGGGCGGCCAAAGCGCGCGCCGCGCAGCTGCCGCCAGAGGGAGGCGCACTTTCTAGGAAAAAGGCGCGAGCTCTTCTCTGGGCGACGAACCGCCATCCACGTCGAACTCAGCGACCGTTGAGTGGGCCGAGTAGTTTCGCGATCAGGCAATCGTCGAGGAACTCGACGTTTGACATGCGATGCTCAGCTTGCTCACTGCGAAGAAACGCAGAATCGCGCTCCACAGTGCACTCGCCGTCTTCAATGTAAATGTAGCACCTGGCGAGCTCACGGAGGACGCGAGAAGCGCCGACCAAACGCCTCGGACACGCCGCGTGCTAGAAGGCGTCGTCAAGCAAACGCGACCACGCGTGCTAATTTGTGCCCCCCGCCAAGGGCTGTCCCGGGCAGAATTGCGCCAGCGTGTATGGGATGACGTCGTTAGGCTGCAGCGCAGCTGCAGTCTCGTCGCAACCGAGCGCCGCGGCCACCTGCCTCACGCCTCGGATCAAGAACCGACGCGCGCCCAGACAGGGCAGACCCCCGAACCCTTTTCCGAACGAGGCGCCGATCGAACATCGCCAATGCCGGACGGAGATCGCATTGAAGAAAATCAGCTAGCAGTCTCTCCTTCGTCAGACACGCCGCGTTCTGCACTCTCTCGAATAAATCTTTCTCGCGCGCGTCCCGAGGCCCCCCCCGGTGTAGCGCGGGCCCCCCCCCGGCCAAGAAAACGCACTTGCGCCGAAGATTCGACATCGCGGTGGTCGCAATGAAGCCAGCCGCCCCCCCCCCCCCCCCCCTGCGCACCCGCGCGTGGCAGCGGTTTGTCCCGCGCGGCCGCCGACGAGGCCGCGGCCGCGGCGGCGCCAGAGGCGCCCTGCATGATCTTCTGGAACGCGCCCTTCCAAGAAGACAGCGTCCATAGATTCCGCCATGCAGTCGATCTGCGATCGCGATGAAGCAACGTCGCGGTTGGCAACGTCGAGCAAGCGCGAGAACCACTTGCAAATGATGCACCAATCCGCCGGCGCGCCAACAGCCATGCAATACTTAGTGTCGAGCTTTCTCAATGAAGTCAGGGCTCGCTCCTGCAAAGCCTTGTCGCAACGTCTGTCCGACGATATATATGTATATATATGTATATATATATATATATATGCATAGGCCAGCAAAGTCGCAAGTGGCAACAACACCGGCGCGATCTTCCCCGGTGGCCCCGCAGTGGGATCGAACCGCTGCTTGGCGAGCGATAAATTCCGCGCGACTGTTTCCAAAGGCTTGCGGCCAATGCCTGGCTCCGCCAGAGGCAGGACGTTGTCCTCTTGAATGGCCACGAAGAGGTCGCGCCACTCTTCGCTGTTCATTATGTCCGGCGCCATAGCGCGTCTGCCATCGAAAAGCTCGCGCCGCGCCACGCCGAACACGTCGTCGCAGTGCAAATGCTGGCTCACGATGCGCATGACATGCGCCGGATCGGGTATCACCGTCAAAAGATTAGGGAAGAGCTCGCAAGCAGCCAGGAACACTGCTCGCCGCTCCTTCGCAGCGCCATCAGCTGACAAACTGGTGACGGTCCTGATAACATGCGACTTCGGCGATTTATCGCACGCCCGAGGCACTGCTGTTCTTGTGCCCCGCCCCATTGGCGTGCGGAACTTCGTTGAGAAACTGCCGAGCTGCTTCGCGGCCGCCACGGCGTGGTCCTCCTCGAACTCGGCTGCGTGGCTCCTCTTGCAATCGAGGATGCCGAGCACGCCTGCGCGGCGGGCACCTGAGGCCCCGACGTTCCGAGCGATGCCGCGCCCCCCGCCATGGGGGGGCAGGCGCATCAGCGCGATATCTAAAAACCTTGCGGCATTTCGACTCACAGGGATAAAGATATCGACGTGGCGTTTCGCAGCGCATCGCGGGTTTGCACGCGCAGAACCTCGGCCATCACGAAGAGCTGCTTGCGCCTGCGAGTCCGCGTTCTCTCCCCTGCTGATCGGCCGTGGAGAACTGCTCCCGCCGCGCGCGAGCGCACTTGCGAAGAGTAGACGTCTCAGAGAGCAGCGCCCGCGCATCCCTCCATTCCGCGGCCGACGGCGCGTTTCCCCGCAGAAGCGCAGCGTCTGCCGCCGCAACTTCTCCTGTCCTACAAGACAAGGGGGCAGCATCGCACGCCAGAGGCAGTGGCTTAGGCGAGAATTCTTCGCGACAAATCTTGGTGCGCTTCACTCCCGCTGCGCGTCGGTGCGCTGCTGACCACTGATGCTGTTCTACTTGGAATCTGCCGTGGAAGCCCGACGCGGGTCTGACCTGGGAAGTAGCAAATTTGGAGCACCGCAGCCTTTGCGCGCGATCGACATGCAAATCCCCGCAGGGCGCAATGCACACCTGCTGCCAGCCACGACGAACCATTCGGCAGGAGGGATAGCCCCTCGTACGTCTTGCGACGTTTGTGGAAATCGCATCTTGTACAAAACGCCTTGCAATGAGCATGCTCGGCGAAGTGCTGCGCGTCGGAATCGGCTCCTGAGAACGCGCGTGCAGACAACAGATTTAGACCCAAGCTTCGTCAAGGATCTGCCGGATGGGCCCCTTTTCCGACCCCCGCCCGCCGCGCCTGCTGGCGCGATCGCCTCAGTCGCAGTCCGCGCGACGCCCTCCGGGGACTGAACCGCCTTGTGCTTCCCCGTTTCGCCAGAGGCAGAGACTTCCGCCTCGCCAGAGGCAGCGGTTTCTTCTTGGCACAAGACGCTCCGCTGTGGGATAGTCCGCCGCGTCTCCGCGACGGCCGCGACTGCCCCGCAGTCGTTGCCGGCATCTTCTTGAGACAATCCCCAAATCGAAAAAGAAGTGGCACCCGCATCGCCCCGAGCACAGCGCCCCCAATCGCGGCGCCTTGACACTCGGCTTGTGCTTAAACGGCTCCATGGCAACAGCGAGCTCGATGATGATGGTGATGGTGATGATGACGGTGATGATGCTGAGCATGATGGCGACGGTGCTGATGTCACTACTGATGGTGGTTATTGCGATGGCGCGCTGAAGGTGATGGCGCCCTTCAATGATGGCGATGATGATTGCCTCCACCATCGCGCCCGAAGAATTACGTCAAAAGTAGAATTGACCACCGCGCAAGATACAACATAACCTGGCCAACATGCACGCAGGACCATCCCATGAGTAACCAGAAACGCAACAAAAATTGGGCAGAGCCACCAAATACTCAACAAGAGTGCAACGGGGCCACCCCACAAGTAAACAGGACCACGCAACAAACTAAACAGGACCACCCCAAAACGTAAACAGTACCACGATACAACTAAACAGGACCACGGAGAAACTAACCAGGACCACCCCGCAAAGTAAACAGGACCACGAGAAAACTAAACGGGACCACAGAGAAACTAAACAGGACCACGATAAAATTAGACAGGACCACGCAAAAACTAGACAGGACCACAGAGAAACTAAGCAGGACCATTTAAAAACTAAACAAGGCCACGCAAAAAAAGTAAGCAGGACCCCAAAACACTAAACAGGACCACAGAGAAACTACACAGGACCACCCGACAAACTAAACAGGACCACGAGAAAACTGATCAGGACCACAGATTAACTAAACAGGACCACAGAGAAACTAAACAGGACCACGAGAAAAAAGAAACAGGCCCACGCAACAAAAAAAAACTGGACCACGCAAAAACTAAACAGGACCACCCCAAAAAGTAAAGCGAATCACGCAACAACTCGACAAGACCACGAGGAAACTAAACAAGACCAACCCAAAAATAAACACGGCCACGCAAAAACCGAACAGGGCAGGGAAAAAAAACAAAGCAGGACCACGCAGAAACTAAACAGGACCACCCCAAAAAGTAAACAGGACCACCAGAAAACTAAACATAACCACAGAAATCAAACAGGACCACCGCAAAATGTCAACAGAGCCACGTAAAAAGTAAACAGGGCCACAGAGAAACAAAACAGGACCACATATATTAAACAGGACCACCCGAAAAAAAGTAAGCAGGGCCACGCCAACAAGTAGACAGGACCACACAGAAGCTAAGCAGGACCAACCCAAAAAGTGAACGGGACCACGAGTAAACTAAACAGGACAGCGGAGAAATTAAACATGACCGCCCACAAAAGTAAGCAGGACCACAAAAACCACACAGGAACTAAACAGGACCAAGGAGAGAGAGAGAGAGAGAGAGAAAAAAAAAAAAAAAAAAAAAAAAAAAAAGAGAAAGGCTAGGGGGAGAGAGACCTTCAAGACGGGTTTAGAAAACGCCAGACTGGCCAAGAGCACCCTGAGACGGCCCAGGCGCCACCCCCGACGGGATCGAGGGGGGGGCGGGGAAGTGCGCCCCGCTCGGCTAATTCTAAATGCCAGACACTACCACGAACGGCAGGGGGCGGAAGGGAGAAGGAGGAGGAAGATAACGCCCCCTACTCACATCAGAGCTGTCTGGGGCCCCAAAGAGGTCCGTAGAAGCCATGTGAACGCATCCCGCCTTCGGACGGACGAGAAGGAGGATGAGGAGGAGGAGGATCGCTCGGACTCTGAAGCGCCCACGCCCAGAGGGTTGGTTGGTCGATCAAAATATATTCCGCAGGATCTGGCCGAACCCTGGCTCGCTGGCGGCGGCGGCCACGGCCGAGACGAGCTCGCCGTCGACCTCGTCAAAAAACAACCCGATGTACCCAACGAGACGTACTTCGACGAGCGAAACCGACTGCGGAAGCACCGGCACAGTCGAGTGCCAATGTCGAGTGAACTGGTGTAGATTTCATCAATCGACTTGCCTGGGTGGACGTCCTCTCAATGCCCGAAGATCGGGGATCTCTGAGACCCCGTGGCTCTGGAGGAAGTGTCGGGCGCCGCGGCCGTTCTAGAGCGCTCTGGGACGCTCTGAGAGCGCTCTGGAACGCTCTAGAACGATTCATCCTGGTCCTGTGGGGAAACCAGAATGTACCGATACCGCTACTCCCCAGACCTCTCCAGGGGTGCGTTCTGACCAAGATTTCGAGGCGAGTCCAGTGGTGGCAACGAAGGCCTCCCAGGCGAAGGAGGGGTATTCGCGGTATGGGTACCTTTTCCTCCTCTGACCCTGGGCCTGCCCGAACTTTCTAAGGCCGCCCGATCGCGCACCCGCACTCCGCGAAGCAGCCTTCCTGGCACGGCCCAGCCTTGCCCTTCCGGTCGAGCAGGCGCCCCCCGGCGGAGCAGTTGGCGTAGCACTCGTTGGCGTAGTCTTTGCAGTCGAGCCCGCAAACCGGGTCCAAAATGAACTGGCACATGCAGTCCCACGAATCGGCATCTTGCGGCAGCGTGGTCGTCCAGGTGGTGGCGTCCGCGGCGCCGCTGGGCTGGGCCGCGTCGGCCCTGCGCGCGGCCGAGCTCTGCAGCAGCGCGGAGGCCTCAGTTTCGCTGGCCTGGCACGTGCTGTCGGCCTCGCAACCCTCGTCCGCCAGCGCGCGCGCGGACAGCGCCAGCGCGGGAGCCAGGGCGAGGCGAGCCATGCCACTAATTCGTGTTACTGGGGAGCTTTTGAGGCGCAAGGGCCCAGAACGCTGTAATTGCCTTGCCTGATACAGGGGGGGGGGGGGCCGTTGGCCAGCAAAAAGAGCTGGGTCAAGCAGCTCGAGCCAGAATGGCAATGGCGGGGTAGGCGGGAGCAGGATGATAACACAAAGGCGGGCGTTGAGGAGAAAGAGGACGAGCATGAGGAACGAGGGATACGAGAAGGAGGGAGCGGAGGATGAGGAAGGGCGGGGAGCGGACACAAGAAGGGAGAGAAAGAATTCTCACGGGGGGAGAACCAGGATTCATGATGAACGGAGCGTAATTATGAAACAAATATGTGGGAGGGCGAGGGAGGTGGCGGAGGAGGCGGAGCTCGAGGCGGAAGACGAAGTACAGGAGGAGGGACGGGGGTGGAGGAGGAGAGGGGGGGGAGAAGGAGCAGGGGGAGGAGGAGGAGGAGGAGGAGGAGGAGGAGGAGGAGGAGGAGGAGGAGGAGGAGGACAGAGAGGGAAGCAGAGCATCAGGATGCGGGAGGGTGGGATGTGAGCGAGGAGTAGGAAGACAAGGGGCAGAAGCAGGAGGAGCCAGAGCAAGCAAGCAAGCAATCAATCGAGCAAGCAAAGAACCGTCAAGGCCGCACGATCGCGCACCCGCACTCCGCGTGGCAGCCTTCCTGGCACCGCCCAGCCTTGCCCTGCCGGTCGAGCAGGTGCCCCCCGGCGGAGCAATTGGCGACGCACTCGTTGGCGTAGTCTTTGCAGTCGAGCCCGCAGACCGGGGCCAAAATGAACGGGCAGATGCAGTCCGCGGCTGGTGGTTAGCTGCTGGCTGCTGCTGGCGGTTAGCTACAAGACCTTGGCAGCGCTTCTGCTGACCAGAATCGCAGATGGTGGCGCCGGGGAGCGCCTTCGGCCGAGTCAGTTTGGGTTTCGAAAAAAAGCGGAGCGCCAGGGATGCCGTCTTCATTATGCACAGGCACATCGAGCAGGCGTGGGCCGGAAAAGACAGCAAACTCTCTGCCGTCTTGCTAGACTGGTCCAAAGCGTTCGACCGTGTGGACCCATCCGCGCTGCTTCGCGCCCTTGACCGGTTTGGCTTAACCGACCCGTACATCAAGATGACCGCTGCCATATACGACGGGCGCACGTTCGAGGTGAAGGACGAGCATGGCTGCAGCAACCGGCACGCGCAGTGCTCCGGCATCGCGCAGGGAGGTCCCCTGAGCCCGTATTTGTTCATCATTATGCTGAGCGTACTGATGGAGGATGTCGGGCAAGACGTTTTCTCGCAGTTTGGCAGTTTGGGCGCTCGCGCGCTGATGCCTTCAGCGCCGACGTGGCGTACGCCGACGACACGGCGCTGGTGTCGAACGATATCGCAAGGTTGCAGTTCTTCCTGGATAGGCTGATCTTCAGAGCTCGCATGTACGGTCTGGAGCCCAACTGGGACAAGACCGTGCATTTCCGGCACAATGTGGACATCCACGCGCCGCAGGGCCAGCCGCTCAAGACGGTCACCTCGACGGTCTACCTGGGCAGCCTCCTCCGGGCCGACGGGAAAAAAGGGGCATCAGTTGCCCGACGCGTAGGTGAAGCCCGCGCGTCTTTCGATGCGCTGCAAGATGTTTGGAGGCATGCCAACATAAGTAGGGCCAGAAAAGGTTACCTTGTTTAGTGCATGCGTTGTGTCAAAACTAACTTGCAGCCTCGAAACACTTTGTCTGCGCACGGCAGACCGAATGAAGATCGACGCGTTTCAAGCTCAGAGTCTACGTATAGCATTGCACATTCGATGATTTCTTATGTTAGCAACGCAGAGGTCCGGCGCAGAGCAAACCAGCAATGTTTAAGCCAGCGTGTGCTCGCCAGGCAACTGTTCTACTATGGAGAGCTGCCCACCCTGCCCAACGAATCGCTGCCTCGCCAGAGTGTCTTCCAGAGCGGGACTTCCCGTCTTCTCGACCCTGGGAAACGCCGCAGAGGGCGTCCCAGGTTACAGTGGGCTTCGGTAGTGCACGCGCGCGCGGTGACAATAGCAACGTGCATGCACGGAGGGGCCTTGAGTCAGGAGGAGGCCGTCCGACAAACGATCGGGCAAAGCACCTTCAATCGACGAGCGTGGAAAGAAGCAGTGTTGAGGTACTGTTTGGATTAGACCAGCCGGCCATCATACGGTGTAATTTTTATCACAAGTTCGAGGGGAAGTATTACTCTGAATTGTACCCTGGTTTCCCCCGCCCGCCTGCCCTCCAGGTGGCGTCGCCGTCCCCTCTTCCGCCGTCCTGCGTCGTTCCTCTGCCTGCTTTCCCCCTCCTGCTCGTCCCTCGGGCGGTCGCCCGGGCTTCGCCCTCCTCTCCTCCCTCCGGCGTCGTCTCCTGTCGCTCGCTCTCCTCCTTCCCCCGGCTCCGGGTTCGTCCTGGTCCCCGGGTGTCGTTCCCTCCTCTGCCTCCTGCTGCCGCTGCTCTCCCGGGTCGTCCACCGAGTGGGGTCTCTGGCGGGTCGGGCATAGAAGCGTAGAGTGTTAGAGAATCCCTGCGCATGGAGCCGGAGCCGGCGACGCTGATTATGCCTTGCTCCTCGCATTGTCGACGCTGGCGTGCTATTGTACATACTCATGCATGTGATCTGCAACCAATGTGCTGTCTAGGCACGGTTCACCTGAGATGCAGTCCAACGGATCAGCATCTTGCGGCAGCGTGGTCGTCCTGGTGGTGGCGTCCGCGGCGCCGCTGGGCTGCATCGGCCCTGCGCGCGGCCGAGCTCTGCAGCAGCGCGGAGGCCTCAGTTTCGCTGCCCTGGCACGTGCTGTCGGCCTCGCAACCCTCGTCCGCCAGCGCGCGCGCGGACAGCGCCAGCGCGGGAGCCAGGGCGAGGCGAGCCATACCACGGTACGTGGCCGCCTTGAGCCAAACTTGAGCTCAAATGGTCACGACGGGGAAGAGAAAGAGGAAGGGGAGGAGGCGGAGCGTACCCGGAGAAACGGACGACTGCGCAAGCACAGCTGGGACTCACTGTTCCCAATAGCTTGGTTGCGGGCACTGGCACGCACGCTTCTGCGGGCCACCTGGGCGTTGGCAAGAACGCTGCGGCCGAGGCATGTCATCTCCCTCCGCCGCTGCGCACCTGCGCTCGCGCAAAATCCGAGCGACGGCTGGGGCACTGTACCTCCCAACGCTTCTCTGAGTAACGCTAGGCGTCAGGCTCAGATCCAAGCGAACCCCGACACATTTCAGGTCTCTGGCTACACGTCGTTCATTTCTAATCGTGCTCACTTCTAATTGCGCTCGTTTCTAATTGTTCCTGGCCCCCTAGTGGCCAGGAAGAGGCCCAGGATCGAATAATCAGAAATGAAGGATCTTGGTCCCCCAAAAAACACAAGAATTTTCGATGAATTGGACATGAACAATGTGTACGGTTAGGTGAATATTTTGTTGGTAAAGTGCTTGACAGACTGTAGGAGGATTCGTGGCTGGGGCGCGGGTCGCCCTAGCTGCCTATTCAAACGACAGCCCGCCTGTCTTGTCGGCATAGTCTGCTGGAGCTGCTTTCCCTCAAATCCGGGTGCTGGAACCAACGCTGCGGGCTGCTGGATACGTTGCCCCTCGTACTGGTTGCTGGCACCCACATCTGTTGACGGCATAAATCTGTTGGAGCGACTTCCCCTCGTCAGAATTGGGTGCTCGAGCCCACGCCGTGGGCTGCTGGAACCACTGTCCCTTGTCAGTTTGGGTGCTGGAGCCCACCCTTCTTGACGGCATATTCTGTTGAAACCACTTTTCCTTGTGAAAACTGGGCGCTGAAGCCACACCCAGCGTAGGGGCTTAAAACGCACAAGTAAGGTCGCGGGGGGGGGGGGGTACGAGGCTCATGGGTGGGTCCTAGTATTGTAGTCACGCCTCGCCCTCAAGCTGGGGCCGTCCGCGCGCGCTTGAGTGCGCGTGCGCGCGTGCGTGGGCGTGCGCGTGTGCGCGTTCGTGCGCGTTCGTGCGCTTGTGCGTGCGCGCACAAGCTCGGGCGCGAGCGCGAGCCCGAGCCCAAGCGCGAGCCCGACCGCCAGCTCGAGACCGAGCCTGGGCAAGAGCCTCATGCTCAACGTGTGCGCGCGCGCGTGCGTGTGCGTGAGCACGCGTTTCCGTGTTCTTTTTCCCAACCATCCTGTGGTTTTGGGTCCTCGTTGTGAAGAGACGGTCCCCGCGTCCTCCTCTCCTCTCCTCTCCTCTCCTCTCCTCTCCTCTTCTCCTCCCCCCCTCCTCCTCCCTCCTCCCCCTCTTCCCTGCGTTTCACCCACCCAGTACAGCGCTTCGTAGCCCCATAGGAGCTCCGCCGAAGGCCCCAGTGCTGCCGCCCGCATGCGTCACGCACACCCAATTCGGCACACCCCTCACACGTTTCGTGGCCCCATAGGGAGCCCCACCGAAGGCCCCAGTGCTGCCGCCCGCATGCGTCACGCACACCCAATTCGGCACACCCCTCACACGTTTCGTGGCCCCATAGGGAGCCCCACCGAAGGCCCCAGTGCTGCCGCCCGCATGCGTCACGCACACCCAATTCGGCACACCCCTCACACGTTTCGTGGCCCCATAGGGAGCCCCACGAAGGCCCCAGTGCTGCCGCCCGCATGCGTCACGCACACCCAATTCGGCACACCCCTCACACGCTTCGTGGCCCCATAGGGAGCTCCACCGAAGGCCCCAGTGCTGCCACCCGCATGCGTCACGCACACCCAATTCGGCACACCCCTCACACGTTCGTGGCCCCATAAGGAGCCCGCCGAAGGCCCCAGTGCTGCCGCCCGCATGCGTCACGCACACCCAATTCGGCACACCCCTCACACGTTTCGTGGCCCCATAGGGAGCTCCCACCGAAGGCCCCAGTGCTGCCGCCCGCATGCGTCACGCACACCCAATTCGGCACACCCCTCACACGTTTCGTGGCCCCATAGGGAGCCCCACCGAAGGCCCCAGTGCTGCCGCCCGCATGCGTCACCGCCAATTCGGCACACCCCTCACACGTCACACGTTTCGTGGCCCCATAGGGAGCCCCACCGAAGGCCCCAGCGCTGCCGCCCACATGCGTCACGCACACCCAAGTTCACACGCGTGCCCCCGCATACGGCACACCCCTCACACGTTTCGTGGCCCCATAGGGAGCCCCACCGAAGGCCCCAGTGCTGCCGCCCGCATGCGTCCCGCACACCCAATTCGGCACACCCCTCACACGTTTCGTGGCCCCATAGGGAGCTCCACCGAAGGCCCCAGCCGCCCGCATGCGTCGCCCCAGTGCTGCCGCCCGCATGCGTCCCGCACACCCAATTCGGCACACCCCTCACACGTTTCGTGGCCCCATAGGGAGCTCCACCGAAGGCCCCAGTGGCGGCGCTCACATGCGCATGCGTCCCGCACACCCACATTTCGGCACATCCCTCACAGGTTTCGTGGCCCCATCATCCACCGGAGGCCCCAGTGGCGGCGCTCACATGCGTCACCCACACCCACCCAATTCGGCACACCCCTCACACGTTTCGTGGCCCCATAGGGAGCTCCACCGAAGGCCCCAGCGGCCGCGCTCACATGCGTCCCCGCCACCCATCCCGGCACGCCCCTCACAACAACAGGTTTCGTGGCCCCATAGGGAGCTCCACCGAAGGCCCCAGTGGCACCGCCCGCATGCGTCACCACCCGCACCCAATTCGGCACACCCCTCACACGTTTCGTGGCCCCATAGGGAGCTGCACCGAAGGCCCCAGTGGCGGCGCTCACATGCGTCCCCGCCACACATCCCAGTACACCCCTCACGCGCTTCGTGGCCCCATAGGGAGCTCCACCGAAGGCCCCAGCGGCCGCGCTCACATGCGTCCCCGCCACCCATCCCGGCACGCCCCTCACAACAACAGGTTTCGTGGCCCCATAGGGAGCTCCACCGAAGGCCCCAGTGGCACCGCCCGCATGCGTCACCACCCGCACCCAATTCGGCACACCCTCACACGCTTCGTGGCCCCATAGGGAGCTGCACCGAAGGCCCCAGCGGCGGCGCTCACATGCGTCCCCGCCACACATCCCAGTACACCCCACACGCGCCTCGTGGCCCCAGAGGGAGCTCCACCGAAGGCCCAGTAGCGGCGCTTACATGCGTCTCCGCCACCCATCCCGGCACCCCCCCCGCAGCAGCATCATGTTTCGGGGACCCATAGGGAGCTCCACTGGAGGCCCCAGTGGCGGCCCGCACATGCGTTTCCGCCACCCATGTCGGCACGCCCCGCGCGTGTTTCATGTCTCCATAGGGAGCTTCGCCGAATGCCCCAGTGGCACCCATCTCGACACACCCCTCACACGTTCCGTAGTCCTATGGGGAGTTCCACTGAAGATGAAACCCGCAGCTGCGGTACTGACAACTGCATATGGTTGGGTTCCTCGCCAGGCTAATTTTGTGCCACGGCGATAAGAAGTTACCTGGGCATGGAATTTCCGCAACGGAAGCTGCACGCAGTCTCCACGCACTAAAGCGAGCAGCAGCCCCAGAATATACGAACAATTGGACAGGCGGGCGCGGGCTTCCAGTGTGCTGACGTGCGCTCAGACATCTCACCATCAACTATATTCGCCTGAGTGTAGGAACAGCGGTCCTCGGGCGGCCGCAGTGCCCGACCCCGCTTTTTATGGCGGCCCCCGGCCCGAGCCAGCCGGCGCGTCCGAACGCCCCGCTCTGCCGGTGGCGCAGGCACGCCGCACCTCGGCGACTCGAGGGCAATATGCTCTGGCTGCATGCAAGGCGGTGCGCTCTCGGCTTCGCGGGTCGCAACCGGCTCTCTTCGTCGGTATTCACCACGTCATCTTCCCTCTTGATCCACATCCGGCTCCTTCGCACTTCCCCTCCTCCCACGCCGCCAAGGAGGGAGGGGGGAGAAGAGATGGGCCTCGCCCTCTGGATCCCTGCTTGCGGGCGTTCTTGCCGATCTTTGCAGCTCCGTCCAGCCGTGGCCACACGGGCCCCCCATCAGGCCCAAGAGGGGTGGAAGACAAGCCCCGAAGCCTTGACCTCCTCCTCGTCCTCCTCCTCCTCCTCTTCCTCCTTCTCCTCTTCCTCCTTCTCCTCTTCCTCCTCCCCTTCCTCCTTCTCCTCATCCCCGCGCGCCGTTCACAGGCACGTTGTGGAGAACGACCGTGCTCAGCCTCGCCTGCCCCGAGAGGGCTGTACTGCTGGCGGCGTCCTGAGGATCGGCAGAGGGAGGGAGGAGGGGGAGGATGAGGGCGGCTGCTATTCCTGGCGCAGGTTCTGAGGCCCACGTAAGAAAGGAGGAGAGAGGGATGATGCTGATGATGATGGTGATACTGATGACGATGATGATGGTGCTGGTGATGCAAATGATGACGACGATGATAACACAAATAATACTAATACTACGCATACTAATAAGACTACTACTAATAGTAATAACAATGATGATACTAATACGGATAATAATAATGATGATGATAATGATGGTGGTGATGCTGATGCTGATGATGACGCTGATGATGATGTTGATGATGATGATGATCGTGCGAATGATGATGATGATAACGATGATGCTGATGATGCTGCTGATGATGATGTTGATGATGATGCTGATGGTGACGAGGAGAAGGAGGAGGAGGTTGAGCAGGAGGACGGTCGCCTGGCCGTGCCTCAGTACCAAGCCCTTTTTCTGTCCTTGCGCTGTGTCTGCTTGCCTCCCATGTGTCGTGTATCATGTCGTTGCTGGCGCCTCTGGCGTCTCGCCTCCATGCCCTTTCTCAAACAAGGGGAGAGGAGGAGGAGGAGGAGGAGGAGGAGGAGTAGGAGGAGAAGGAGGAGGAGGGGGAAGGAATCATCAGATTGTCGTTGCCAATTGTCATTGGCTCGATCTCACCCTGGACTTATGTTGCTCCCATCGTACTTAGAGACCACATCCCAGAAATAATTTCGAGCACCCAGAAAAGTGTCGAAAGAGTGTCGGAACAATGTCGAAAAAGTGTCGGACGAGTGTCTCCCAGGGCCCGACACGTGAAACCCCGAAGTTTCGGTACTTTTTTGCTAGAAATTCTTTCTGGTGGTCTAGGCTAAAGTAGGTTGGAACATCATAACCCTGGATCTCGTTGAGTCCCGTCTTCCTGTTCCGATGCAAGGGGAGGTCTCGCGAGGTGCGCCGCAGCGGGCCAAGGCACGAGCGCCTCCAGCAGATCAGGTGTCGCTGTTGGTTGGCGGCGCGCACAAGGGGGGAGGGGGAGGATGGAAGGGGCAACGACTGGGGGGGACTGGCATAGGGGGGGATGCATCGACGTGGAATCGGCGATGCATCGCCGACAGATCGGCGATAGGCATCCGATAGTGAATTCGCACCTTCCTGGGCAGGTTGAGGCTATCGGATCCCTATCGGCGATCAATGGGCGATTGGGGGTCGATGCATCCCCCCCTATGCCTATCCCCCCTATCGTTGCTCCCGAAGGGTGGAAGGCTTCTTAGAATGAGGCCGCTTCTTAGATAGAAGAGGAGAACAACATATAAACATAAACTTTTGGCGCTCCGCGCGGACTTCTTGGATCCGCGCCAGACCCCCCTTCCTGGCGCGCGGAGCGCGCCAGGGGCGGCGCAGCAGGCGCCGCCGGGGCGCCCAGGCGCGGATCCAAGAAATCCGCACGGAGCGTCAAAAGTTTATGTTTATGTGGCTTTGCTTCGTCGGTTAGAGGTCGGCCTTGCATCTACAACCCAGCCGTCCAACCTGTATCGGCAAATTGGCGACAGGCGGAGCTGAGCCCGAGAGGGCTCCGAGGATGGGGCATCTCGAGAGGCCTCGCGGGAAGCATACTGCCGGCGGCAGAACGACGGGACAAGTGCCTGGGTAGCGGACTGCTACACAGCTCGCCGGCTTTAGTCAGGGGCGCGCACACAGGGATTCGCGATCCGAGGATTTGGCGCGCGGTCGCCAAATCCAGGTGCCCTCCCCAAAATGCGGCCAATGCCGCCTCGTTCGGCGGCGGAACTCCACGGAAGCGGGACCAATCGCTGATCCACGCCCCCATTGATCCATGCTTGCGATCCCTCGACTTCGGCCCAGGCCTCTCAGAAAGCAGGGGTGCTTCTGATAGGCCTGCCCCCCTCCCCCTGCCCCCCCTCTGCGCGCGGCCGAGTCGGCGTTCAGTTCGGGCCTCAGCCTGGCCGAGCGCGGGCCTGCGGTCGGCGGAAGAAGCCGGGCGGCGGCCTCTTCATTGGCTCGCTCGCTGCGAGCCGGGGTGCCGTACTCACCGGCGCCCCGAACCTCGTCAGGGCCACCAGAGCCAAACTTGCTGCAAAACTGTGAGGCGCCTTCTCTGGTCCGTTCAAGCTCTCACTCTCTTGATGAGTCATGCCTTCCTTGTGCTCGAGCGCGGCTTCTGAAACAATCTCGCACGATTCCAGAAGAAACCGCACGCGCAACCTCGAGAGCAGAGCGTCCGCGACAGCCCGCCCGCTACGCGCGAATGTGCCTTCTGGAAACGCATGGGCATATGCTGGCAGCTGGTCGTGGAATTGGACAGCGCGCCCCGCGAAACGGCACAGCCGCCAGACTAACGCGAGGCACGCCGAGTCGCCCAAGCGCGACCCCAACTCCTTACGGCGCTTGCGTGCTGGTCTTGGTCTCGGTACGGGCCGACCCCATCTGAAGCCACGTCGTGCTCTGATGCAAGCGCAACTGAGGGGCAAACCGCGCACGCGTCCCACAGAGGCAAGACTAGTTAGCTACGAGGGGCTGGCGACAGGTCACGGCTGGCAGGCGAAGAGTCTGGGCATGACGAGCCCAGCTATTCAGGATGGAACGTGACGGGCCGCACCGGGAGGCGAAGCAGGAGCTGCATGTGCCAACAGCCTCGTGCCACCATAAAACGTGTGTCAACGCCTCATGCACGCTGCATGTAGATTTAGGTCGGTTTGACCTTTTTGGAACATGTCTGGAGTATCTTTAACTTTTCGTCGACAATCCCCCTGTAGGGGGACACGCCCGACATACATGTAGATGCGCCGGCGCCGATGCTGCATCTACCCTCCCAGGACCTGCACCCTACGGACGCGGACCACGGGAGGCTCGCTCCGTCTGCCGAGCTCTGCCAGGGGGGGCGAGGGCTGCGGTGACCATCCTCCCCCCCCGCCCCAGGCGAGGGAGGCTCTCTGGGCTCTCTGCGTGCCCGCGGACGCATGCGCGCACGCGCCCAGGGCACGCGCACCGATGCCCTGTGGGCTATCTCCAGGAGAAGGCTCCGCATGCGCCGACGTCGGCGCACGTGCCAGGCCACCGTGCCTCCGTGCCGGAGCGCGAGCGGCCTCCGGAGCCTCTCCAACGGGGCCACCTCGGAGCTCACCCCTTGACTGGCCACCGCTCGAACGTCCATTTCCTGTGTTTTTCCCAACCATCCTGTGGTGTTGGGTCCTCGTTTTGAAGAGACGGTGGCCCGCGTCTCCTCTCCTCCTCCTCCTCTCCTCCTCCTCCTCCTCCTCCTCCCCCTCCTCCTCCCTCCTCCCCCTCTTCTCTGCGTTTCACCCACCCAGTACAACGTTTCGTAGCCCCATAGGAGCTCCGCCGAAGGCCCCAGTGCTGCCGCCCGCATGCGTCACCCACCCACGGCACAATCACACGTTCCGACACCCCAGTGCATGCGTCACGTCACACGTTTCGTGGCCCCATAGGAGCTCCGCCGAAGGCCCCAGTGCTGCCGCCCGCATGCGTCACCCACACCCAATTCGGCACACCCCTCACACGTTTCGTGGCCCCATAGGGAGCTCCGCCGAAGGCCCCAGTGCTGCCGCCCGCATGCGTCACCCACACCCAATTCGGCACACCCCTCACACGTTTCGTGGCCCCATAGGAGCTCCGCCGAAGGCCCAAGTGCTGCCGCCCGCATGCGTCACCCACACCAATTCGGCACACCCCTCACACGTTTCGTGGCCCCATAGGAGCTCCGCCGAAGGCCCCAGTGCTGCCGCCCAACCACACCCAATTCGGCACACCCCTCACACGCTTCGTGGCCCCATAGGGAGCTCCGCCGAAGGCCCCAGTGCTGCCGCCCGCATGCGTCACCCACACCCAATTCGGCACACCCCTCACACGTTTCGTGGCCCCACTCCGCCGAAGGCCTGCTGCCGCCCGAATGCGTCACCCACACCCAATTCGGCACACCCCTCACACGTTTCGTGGCCCATAGGGAGCTCCACCGAAGGCCCCAGTGCTGCCGCCCGCATGCGTCACCCACACACAATTCGGCACACCCCTCACACGTTTCGTGGCCCCATAGGAGCTCCGCCGAAGGCCCCAGTGCTGCCGCCCGCATGCGTCACCCACACCCAATTCGGCACACCCCTCACACGTTTCGTGGCCCCATAGGGAGCTCCGCCGAAGGCCCCAGTGCTGCCGCCCGCATGCGTCACCCACACCCAATTCGGCACACCCCTCACACGTTTCGTGGCCCCATAGGAGCTCCGCCGAAGGCCCCAGTGCTGCCGCCCGCATGCGTCACCCACACACAATTCGGCACACCCCTCACACGTTTCGTGGCCCCATCGGAGCTCCGCCGAAGGCCCCAGTGCTGCCGCCCGCATGCGTCACGCACACCCTATTCGGTACACCCCCCACACGTTTCGTGGCCCCATAGGGAGCTCCGCCGAAGGCCCCAGTGCTATGCGGCACACCCAATTCGGCACACCCCTCACACGTTTCGTGGCCCCATAACGAGCCCCGCCGAGGCCCCAGTGCTGCCGCCCGCATGCGTCACGCACGCCCAATTCGGCACACCCCTCACACGTTTCGTGGCCCCATATGGGAGCTCCGCCGAATGGCCCCAGTGCTGCCGCCCGCATGCGTCACGCACAGCCAATTCGGCACACCACTCACACGTTTCGTGGCCCCATAGGGAGCTCCGCCGAATGCCCTAGTGCTGCCGCCCGCATGCGTCACGCACACCCAATTCGGCACACCCCTCACACGTTTCGTGGCCCCATAGGGAGCTCCACCGAAAGCCCCAGTGCTGCCGCCCGCATGCGTCACGCACACCCAATTCGGCACACCCCTCACACGTTTCGTGGCCCCATAGGGAGCTCCGCCGAAGGCCCCAGTGCTGCCGCCCGCATGCGTCACGCACACCCAATTCGGCACACCCCTCACACGTTTCGTGGCCCCATAGGGAGCTCCACCGAAGGCCCCAGTGCTGCCGCCCGCATGCGTCACGCACACCCAATTCGGCACACCCCTCACACGTTTCGTGGCCCCATAGGGAGCTCCGCCGAAGGCCCCAGTGCTGCCGCCCGCATGCGTCACGCACACCCAATTCGGCACACCCCTCACACGCTTCGTGGCCCCATAGGAGCTCCGCCGAAGGCCCCAGTGCTGCCGCCCGCATGCGCACCGCACACCCAATCCGCCACACCCTCACACGTTTCGTGGCCCCATAGGAGCCGCCGAGGCCCCAGTGCAATGCGTCACGGCACACCCCTCACACTTTCGTGGCCCCATAGGGAGCTCCGCCGAAGGCCCCAGTGCCGCCGCCCGCATGCGTCACGCACACCCAATTCGGACACCCCTCACACGTTTTCGTGGCCCCAAGGGAGCACACCCCTCACACGTTTCGTGGCCCCATAACGAGCCGCGCCGAAGGCCCCAGTGCTGCCGCCCGCATGCGTCCCGCACACTCATTTCGGCACATCCCTCACACGTTTCGTGGCCCCACAGGGAGCTCCACCGAAGGCCCCAGTGGGTGTGCCCGCATGCGTCCCGCACACCCATTTCGGCACACCCCTCGCACGTTTCGTGGCCCCATAAGGAGCTCCACCGAAGGTCCCAGTGGTTGTGCCCGCATGCGTCACGCACACCCATTTCGGCACACCCCTCACACGTTTCGTGACCCCTCACACGTTTCGTGGTCCCATAGGGAGCTCCACCGAAGGCCCCAGTGGGTGTGCCCGCATGCGTCCCGCACACCGATTTCGGCACACCCCTCGCACGTTTCGTGGCCCCTACGGGGGCTCCACCGAAGGTCCCAGTGGGTGTGCCCGCATGCGTCCCGCACATCCATTTCGGCACACCCCTCACACGTTTCGTGGCCCCATAAGGAGCTCCACCGAAGGTCCCAGTGGGTGTGCCCGCACGCGTCCTGCGCACCCATGTCGGCACACCCCTCGCACGTTTCGTGGTCCCATAGGCAGCGCCACCGAAGAAGATATTCACAATTGCGGTATTCACAATTGCATATGGTTGGGTCCTTCGCCAGGCTAATTTTCGGTTTCGTGCGTGGTTTTTTCGCGAAATGATCAAGGATGCTCCTCGATGGTCCTCACCGAAAGAAAAATGCACACGTCCGAGCGATGCCAAGTTGAAGCTTCGGGGTGTACCCCCTGGCGGCCCCAGCGAGAAGTCAGGGCTGTTGCACAACCAAATCGCAGGGGATGCTGCAGACGCGCGCAAGGCACCAGTCTAGGCGTGTTGACGTTTTACCCCCTTTATGCGGATGTCCTGTCCTGTGCTGAGCACCCAGAAGAGCAACTTATCGTCTACGCTGGCCCCTTGCCCGACAGCAGAACCCCGACAGTAGTCCTCGCACGACGTCGTGCATCCCCGTGTTGTGTCAACGCCAGGAGAATGAATGGTCCACGCAGTGGGACTTGGTCAGCCCACACATCATCGATAGCGGGGAGAAGTGCTATAGTGGAAACGGCCCCAAACAGCATCCGACCATGCGGCCACTGTCCTGCCGTCTAACGGAACCGGGGAGAAAGAGGGGATGGAAGAAGACGACTAGCATCGACACTCGCAACAACGAGATGAATTACCCACGAAGAGAAGAGAACAGGGGAACGAACCATGACATAAGCATGATAATTCAGAGGTCTGCGCGGATTTCTCGGATCCGCGTTGGGGCCCCCTGGCGGCCCCCTGGCGCCGCCCCTGGCGCGCTCCGCGCGCCAGGGAGAGGGGTCCAGCGCCGATCCGAGAAATCCGTGCGGACCTCAAATTTTTGTTAATGTTTCTGCCATGTTTCGCTGCCCTAGATCGGGAGCGGCCAAGAGGGGGGTGTCCAAGAGGGGGGGGGGGGTGCAAATCATGACCGGCGGCATGTGCGCGGCCCAGCGGGGGGGCCAGGGACGCAATGAAATAAGAAGAGGCGCCATGAGATCTGGGGAAATATCATGGCCCCCGCCATGATATCCACCCCCCCTAGTCATCACCCCCCTCTTTTCCGCCCCCGACTAGAGAACACACACACACACAAGAAGAAGCAAATGAGATGCAGCGGGGCGGCTGCGGCTCCGTGCCCCTCTCGGTGTCCGCCACGCTGGCGGAGCTGGGACTGCTGCCCTCGGCCGCCGCGGGGGCGCGGCCGCTGCTCCAGGAGAAAAGGCCCCGCCTCGCCGCTCGCTCCGCCCTCGCCTTGCCGCCCTCGCTCCCCTGCCTTCGCCACCACCAGACCCTCACCTCCTCCTCCTCCTCCTCCTCCTCGTCCTCGTCCCCGTCCTCGTCCTCCTCCTCGTCCTCCTCGTCCTCGTCCTCACCCTCCTCCTCCTCCTCCTCCTCCTCCTCCTCCTCCTCCTCCTCCTCCTCCTCCTTCTCCTCCTCCTCCCACGGACGATGCCGACCCTCGTGCGGCGTGAGCGTGTACAGGCAGGAGGAGGACAGAGCACGGACGAGGCCAGCCACAGACGTGGCCTGCACAGAAGGTTGGCAGCACATGCTGGCACGCGTAGGGTCTGGAATATTTCTGCTGAATGGCAGTGGCTCCACAACAATGGCAGAGCAATATGATGTATTCAAGATGCACGGCGAGATGAGTTGTGGGCCTTAGAATAATGCGCGCGCCGTGATGTACACGAGGCAGCTTACATGTCGATGTTATTCGTTTAAACATGAGGTGCATACCTTTCATGTCTTCATGTAGTGTGCCGCAGCGTCGATTCCAAATACCCATTCGGGTGCTTGGGACGCCATCTCGACATTTGCTCACATGAAGGAACCCTTTTGACATTGCCAACACGTCGGTTCACATCTCGAAGCTAGCCAGATTGACCAGGGCCTCACCGTTATTATGGAAGGGCAAGCGTCCCAAAACAGTGCTAGCACTAGGGGAACCTACTGGCGCTGAAAAAGTCAAGGGATCCAGGGACACACACACACACACACATACACACATACACACACACCGCACAATTCATACACACACGCAAATACGCAACTCCCTGGATTCCCCATATGTTCCGATATTGTCTGGGTTTCTGCCTCCCCCCCACTTCCCATATCTTCCTGGGGGTCGACGATTCCTTGTGCCTGCGTGTGCTTTTCCCCCGCCCTGCAAGAGTGCTGGCTGGAGGCTACACGTCCTCGACCAGCACCCGCCCGTGGCCACCCCGTGGCCCGCCCCGCGCGCTGGCCGGCAACACTCCGAGCTCTCTCCCGAGGCCTGCCGTGGGCCCGCCTCGTGGTCGCCCTCTCGTGCGCTGCCTGGGCGGCCCCTTCCCGCCCGTGGCGGCCTCGAGGGCCACCTCGCTCGCGTGCTGGCGGTTGCCACACACAGGTTTGGGTCGGGTCCTCCTACAGGGGGGTTTTGGACGAAGCGTCAGAAGCAGTCGAACAAGTACTCCAAAATGGCCAGCAACAAAAACAAGTAGAACATCGTGCCCATACCATTTTTTTAAGGCAGATATGTTGGAATATTCCTCCTGTGGAGGGACAGGCCAGACTTAAGTATAGGTCGAACCATTGTGCATGCAATGCGCGGCAAGCGCCACATGTGTTGCACAGCGCGCTCCACTTACAGCCTCCGATCTTCATCACGTAGGAACCCCTGCCCCCATGCTGAGACGGACTTCACCGCCCGGCTCTTCGTATAGGGCTTTCAAACATTTTCTGCACGATCGTTGATGCACTTTTGGCTCAAGCGATTGCTGCAAATGCATTGCCCCCCTCCCCCCCTAGATACCGTGAGGTCGGGCATGTCCTCCTGCAGGCGGACTTTGGACGACCAATCAAACATAGTCGACAAATGCCCCAAAACATGCTCAGACATGGTCAAAACACAGTCCCCAGACTCCTTTGTGACCGCTTTTGAGTTTTTTCCTCCTGCAGAGGGACGTGCCCGACTTGAAGGCACCGTACCGGAGCCGTGCCCGCGGATGGTGCCGCGCTGCTCGCTGCCGCCGCTCGCCAGGCGACGGCGCCTCGTCGAACCGCCCAGGGCGGCTGCCGCTGCTGCCGCGGGCGCGCTCTCCCCGCGGGCGGAGAGGCCGTGCCTCGACCGCCTCCGGGGGCACCCGCCGGCGCGCAGGGCGCACCCGCTCCCGCCGAGGGCCCTGCCAGCCTGGTGGACACGCTGCGGGCCGCTCGCCGCGCCCAGCGTGCTCGAGGGGAGGTAGGGCGCGGCGATGCCAAGCAGTCAGCCTCCATGAGAGCAGAAGTCCAACAAGCCCACCCCCGCAGCAACCGCCCCGACACGCGCAGTCGTTTAGTTAGCAAACGCGCCCAAAGAAGGAATCGAACAGGGCAGGGTTGTTTGGTGAACGCCCAGGGCCGTTTGGTGAACGCCAACTGTCTGGTCCAGGTGGCTTTTCCTCCCTTGAGTGAGCGCGGGCGTCCTGGCCAACTCGGCCGAGGGTGTATGAGAGCTCCGAGCAAAACACCACCACCAGCCCTGGCCGGGTCCATTCTGGGCCCTGGGCTGGTGTACAGGCCTTCCCGGCCTAGGCTTAGGTCGGGCATGCCCCCCTACAGGCGGATTTCCAAAAATGCGACAAGATATTCAAACATGGTAGCAAAATCGCCCCCATAGTATTTTTGTTAAACCATTTTTGAATCTTACCCCTGTAGAGGGACACGCCCGACACTGGTCCAGGGCCCAGCACGGACCTGGCCAAGGCTGGCGGTGGTGCCTCGTCGGCGTCCCTCCGAAAGCAGGCAGCCTCCACGAGCGCGGACGTCCCCTGGAAGGTGCGGCCAACCGCGGCGCAGAGCCGCGGGGTGCCTCCGCAGCGCGGCCCGCCCCGGCACCACCCGGGTCCATCTGCTGGCGATGCTCCACCTGGCGTGCCGAGTGGGCGTGACTTCAGGGGGGGGGCGAGATGCCTGTGGGGGGAGAAAGGTGCACCCTTCGGGCCCTAGAAAAATTCCTCTTGGTCCCTGAAGGGCCCCCTCGGGGGCCCTGAAGGGCCCCTCTTCTACAGCCCTCGCTGCCCCCCTCACGTATCGCCCCTCCATGCTGCGACGCCCAACCCAGCTGGAGTGACGGCAGGAGCTCCACTCGTCCGGCGTGAGCCAGCCGATGGGAGTTGCTGCGATGTGAGCCGCTCTTCGTCGCAGCCCACGAGCAGTTCTGCACGCCGCTCCACGGCCTCGTTGCAGTTGACCTTCTGAGAGAAGCGTTCTTCCATCCTCTGCGGCTTCACGCTCGACCCGTGAGCTCACCATAGGCCGCGTTTGCTGCACCAGGCCGCAAGCAGCCTAACTCGTTCGTTTTCCAGAGGACAGACAGCCCCTGTTCATTCTCATTACGCACGATCGTTGATCTGAACATGAAAAAATGGAATGCGTAACCAACTTGCATTGACCTCCGCCCCTCCGCCCCTTGCAGCAAACTGTATGCGGGGCACACGCGTGGATCTGACAAGCCCGTCTTGTCAGATCCCTCGGGGATGGACAGAACCGCCTTTAGTGAAACGTGGTTTGGTGAAAACGACCTCGGGCCCAAACCTGGCGGGCGCAAGCATGGAAAATGACGGCCGCGGCGCCCTATCGACAACCGAAAACGGACAAATCACTAATCGACGTGTCAGGGTGGGGGTTCTGTCCACCCTCCAATCCCCCATTAAGTAATGCCATTCGTGCCACACGAGTGCGCATGCCGAAATCCTCGAGCAATCATGGCGAGCCCGCTAATTCAGTCAACCATTACTGTGAAAGGCCACACACGCGCGTCCCTGCGCGCGCATGCCGAAATCGTTGCAAAGCCATGTGCTGCCCAAGCATTTCACCATAGGAGGTGCTCAAGCACAAATGATAACCACTGGTTGTCAAACTAATCTCCGACGACTGAGCAGCAGTAGCTTCTGCACTGTCGTGATAAAGGCGCCTTCAGGGTCGTCGGATCTCGTTTTCGAGCCTGCTTGCTCGTGACGTTCGTTGCCGCTCAGTCCTAGAAGTCCCCCCTCCCTGCCGCGGCGCTGAAAGCTCTGCTGCACTGTCGTGAAAAGGCCCCTCGAGGGTCGTCGGATTTCGCTCCCGAGCCTGCTCGCTCGCGACGCTCGTTGCCGCTCGTTCCCGGAGTCCTCATTAAGGAATCCCCCCCTGCCGCGGCGCTAGCAGTAGAGCTGTCGTGCAAGGAGCCTTGAGGGCCGTCGGACTTCGATTTCGAGCCTGCTTGCTCGCGACGCCTGTTGCCGCTCATTCCTGGCGCCACAACCCAAGATTGACCATGTATCGTGCCGTTCAAGAGTTCGCTCGCGATGCATCTTGGCGGCTCCGAGCGCTGGTCGGGTCACACATGTTCTACACCACCGATCTGTTGTGCTGATGGTGTTGCTCCGGCAAGCTCTCCCGCAACTGATGCAGTTACTAGCTCTGCTCGACGGCCTGCAAGGGGGATTTCTGCAGTCGGTGCGGGCTTCCGAAGACAAGGCCCTCCGCCTCCGCCTCCTCATCCGCCTCCTCCTCCGCCTCCGCCTCCGCCTCCGCCTCCGCTTCAGCCTCCGCCGCCTTCTCCTGCTTCCTCCTCCTCCTCCTCCTCCCCCTCCTCCTCCTCCTCCTGCTCCTCCTCCTCCTCCTCCTCCTCCTCCTCCTCCTCCTCCACGCCTTCTCCTCATCCTCCTCCTCTTCCTGCTGTTCCTCCTTCTCCTCCTCTTACCCCTTTTTCTCCTGCTCCTCCTCCTCTTCCTCCTCCTCCTCCTCCTCCTCCTCCTCCTCAGGGCCCCCCCCCTTCCCTGCTGCTGCCACTGGCGGGGCAGGCGCCCGCGGGGGCGCCTCCGGGCCGACGGTCGTCGCCGCCTCGGTGGAGGCGTCGTCGGTGGAGCGGTCGCCCCCTTTTGAGGGGGGTCGGGCGAGGGCGGAGGGGGGTGGGCGGGGGGGGGGAAGGCGGGGTGAGGGAGGGAAGGGGAGGGGGGGGAGGGGGAAGCAGGAGGGGGGAGGGAGGGAATGAGAATGAGGAAGGGGGCGGGGGGGGGGGGAGAGGGGGGGGGGGCAAGCTGGGTCCAAGGTGCGCTCGCGCCATACCTGGTATCCTATCCCTGCCTTCCCAATGCGTGGACGCGTGTCATCGCTGACCTGGAAGTCCACAAAAGACCCCATCGTGTAGTGCGCAATCGGAGAAGGGAAGCTGCGTACACAGGAGGAGGAGGTGGAGGAGGTGGGGGCTAAGCAGGAGGATGAGCATGAGGATGAGCAGGAGGAACACGAGAAGGAGCCAGTCGCAGGTGGATGGGGGATCGAGGATCGAGGATCAACGTTTCGGGCCTTCTTGTTCTTGCTGGGTGTGCCCTCTCGCCGCGGCTGGGCCCGCCTCGAGGCTCTGGCCAGCACGCATCCCAGGACTGGTCGCAGACAGGCAGGCAGACAGAGGCCCGGTCGAACCACACGGGTTGGCCCGTAAGCGGGCGAGGCTACAGCGCAGTGGCCTGAACAATCACGCGCGCGCAAGGACTGGTCGCGGGGTCGGCTGTTTGAGGGAGGGCCCAGACCTCGGGCGCGGAGAGGCGAGGAGAAGGGTTCGCCGTGAAGGCTTCGCCATGCTGCCGTCCACGCGGCAAGGATACCTGAACCCCAGCGTCATCGGTGAGCATTGGCACCAACCCCGACGACCCTGGGAGTTCAGCAACTCGCTTCCTCAGACCTGGAGAAAGACGAGGAGGAGGAGGAGGAGGAGGAGGAGGAGGACGAGGAGGAGAAGGAGGAGGACGAGGAGGAGGAGGAGGGAGGAGGAGGATTTTTTGTTTGCAATTCCTGGGGGGCCCTGAAGGCTCTCGCCGCCAAAGCTGATCTCGAAAAGTGGTCAGGATGGTGTCGAGGAGGGGTCTGGGCACTGACCATGAGCGAATATGGACTTCGAACGAACTTCTACCCAAGAAATGACGGTCCAAACGTCCTGCGTCACGAACAGCAACTCGTGCTGGCCGTCTTTCTGTGACTCTATCCCCCCCTGGAAACTCGTGTTGGGCCCCAAGGCCAGCAATTGACGACCTGGGCCAGGAAACACACGCTCCCAGGGGCATTCGAAGGGGAGGCTGGAGGCATTGCACAGGTCCAGCCGCGCCCAGATTGGTGGAACCCTCTGAAGTAGAACTTGGCGGCGAGCCAGGGGGAAACCGGCAGGCTTCAGAGAGGCTTCGCCACCTTCTGAGAAGGCCTTCTCCTTCTCACTTCCCCCCCTCGCTCGCCGCCGAGTTTGGGAGGCGACGCAGTTCTATTCGGCCCCAGGATCGCCACGAACTGGCAAGCATCGCGCTTGGGCCTCCCATTGGGGAGCCGCCAGAACATTTTGCACGGCCCCGCTCGCACCCAGACTGGTAGGCCCTCTTCAATTTTAGGGGAGACGACGCGGCAGGTTTCCATACGGTCGAGGTACTAGCAGAAAGAACGCTAAACAAGGAAGGAAAGGGCTTTTCTGGCCACAGTGGACCTAGGCCACAAACATATCCCGCGACGAATATCGAAGGAACGACCCGTAGCACCGAACCCTTTCCGAACCCAACGCAGTCCTTGCTTCAGCATCTTGGCTGTAGCCCAAGGTTTACCGCGATGCCCAGGCATCGCGCCCAAGCGTCCCTGGGAGTTACGAGCCACCAGGGGCGTACTGCACGGGCCCGTTCGCGTCCCGATGGGCGGGCCTTCTCCTGGCAGACCGCTCGCTTTGTGGGACACGCCGTGTCTCCGTCCGGGAGTCCCAGGAATACCGCGATGTCGGATGTCGCAGGCATCGCGCTTGGGCCTCCCAGAGGAGAGCCGCCAGGGGGTGTTGCCCTCCTGCTCCCTCCTCGTCCTTCCTTGCCCCCTGGCTCCAGGACGCAGCAGGACGCCCCAGGGAGCTTTAGGAGGCCCCGGGAAGCCCCAGGAAACTCGAGGTAGGAAGCTCCGCAGGCTTCCTGGTGGCACCATGGCGCCCTGCGAGGCTGCAGAAGACGTTTGGAGGCTCCAGGAGGCCCCAAGAACCCCCGTGATGCCCCTGAAGGCCCCAAGAGGCTCCAGGAGATCCCATGAAGCCACATGCGGCCCCAGGATGCGCTCACGCATGCCCAGACTCACGCAAGCTCTGAACCCTTCACTCTCAGATCTACTCGCACCCAGAATCACTCGTACTCAAAAGCTCATACTCATACTGACTAGCACTCATGCGCAATCATGCCCTCGCTCACATCATATCGATATTTACTCGTACCCCAACCAACTCAAATTACGTCCCAACCACACGCACAAAGATTCACTCCGCTCGCACTCGCTCATACACATCCTAACTCAGACTCCCTCGTCCGGTCAATCATACGCAGAACCACCCAACCTCACGCACACTTGGCAATCCATAGCAAACTCGCCACTACCCAGTCTTATTCATAGTGACATCCTCTTTCAATAATGCCCGCTCGTATCCAGTGGCTCTAGCTCAGACTCGCTGACACTCAAGCTCAAACATACGCAAACGCCCGCACCGATATCGACATGCCCGTACACACTCACACTGGGAACCTCTCAGACTCAGATGTGCTTAGACTCAAGCATAGTCATACTCAGTGCCCAATCGCTAGCCAAACGCGCACGGACTGGTACTGAATCGCACTGAATGCGTTCGTGTTCAGCCAACTATGCAGACTCACACATGCAACATGTCATTCGCACCCAGACCCATTCATGTTAAGACGTACTCACCTCGGACCCACTTAAACCATATTCAATCATATTCAGAATCACCTGTTCTCAGACTCACTCAGACTCGGACCCGCTGGCCGTATTCAGACCTATTCGAAACTAGTCGCTCATGCCCGGATTCATTCACACTCTGGCTCGATCGTGCTAAGTCACTCGTGCCGAATCTCATTCACACACGTTCTTGCGTCCGCGAGCCTCTGGCTGGCTTTCACGACTGGTCAAGACTCAAGACACAATTATATGGTACGTTTTGCGATCGAGCGGTGGGGAGAGACCCAGACGTCGCCGACTCATCTTGCGGATGCAGGCACGAGCACATGCTCAACCAGTCGCCGGGCACGAAGGCACGAGCCGAAGCTTAACGTATTTCAATAGTGCGCAGCCGACAGGACCACGCGGGCGTCTCACCCGCCAGACAGTGGAAGACACGAGAGTGGAAGGGTAATGAAAAAGGGGAACTTGCACAGGTCGCGAGCTGACGGCTGCAAAGGCGGCCAACAGAACACGATGGAGGAGGGAGAGCCGCGGCTTGCAGCGGGGATCTGCATTCATTGCCGCTCAGTGACCACCAAAGGGGGAGACCACAGGTGGGCGAAGACCAACAATCATCCAAACCAATCTCACTCACACTTGGACTCGCTCGTACTCAGTCGTTCATGAAGGAACCGTCCGGAAAAGGAGGCACGCGATGCAGGGATATCCACGTGGAGCCATTCATGTTTTCCGGTAGGTAGTTGGATGCTGTGGAGAAAGTGGGCGGCGAGAACTGCAATGGGATGCGGAGAAGGAGGAATTGGTCGAGGGACAGGAGGATGTTGGGGAGAAGGAGGAGGTCCTGCTACAGGTGCGGCCGTCTCCCTCGGTGCCGCCTCCCTCCGTGTCTCTCTCTCTCTCTCTTTCTCCCTATCTCTGCCACTCTCTCTCGGAGAGGAGGTGGCGAGGTGAATGAAAATGGAAAGATGGTGGAAGAAGAGAAGGGCGAGGACAAACATGAGGAGTTGGAGGTGGAGGCTTGAGCGACTCTCTGTCTCTCTCTCTCTCTCTCTTCCGCTCTCCTTCCCTCTTTCTCTCTCTCTCTCTCCCCCTCTCTCTCTCTCGCTCTCACAAGGAAGAGGCGGAAGAGACGAACGATTGTGAAACTACATCGAGTTCGAAAGATCCGGTTCATAGGATTGGGCTGGCGCGTGTCACCCCGAGCTTGTAGCGGTGGTGGCAATAACAGTGGCAATCTTGGTAAGAACGGTGGCAACATAGACAGCATCGGCAGTCGTTCTAGTCGTATGCAGTGGTACGAAGCACGTGGAGGAGGAACTAAGGAGGAGAAAGGAGAGGAAGTGAAGAAACAAGTGACGCTCATAATGGGTCTGAATAATAATGGGTACGATACCCAATAGCAAAAACCGACAGCAGCTGCTGTTAGGCAGGCGGCCTTCTGTCTCAAATGGACAACGTCCGCGGCGACACCGATAGCGAGTCCTGTTCAACACGAACAGGAACTGCCATCGGCCTCCGTGCCCGTGCTTCCCGTACCAATTTCGATCGTACCGAAAAGAGGGCGAGGAGATATGATGAGGATGGGGAGGAAGACGAACGGGGGAGGCGGGGGAGGCTGAGTGAGCGGCACCCGGCCACGGGAACCACCTTGCTGGTCGGAGAACTTGTGCAGCAGGAGCTCGTAGGACAAAGAGTCCTGCGGGTGCGGCATGGCCGCTCCCCTCCGTGACGACCCGCTCCTGACCCCACCCGCACTGCACATCCCCAGCGAGCCCTCCTTCTCCGGCTCCTCCCCCTCTTCCCCGGGCCTGCTGCGGAAGTCGCTCGTGAAGTCTTCGGAAGTGTCAAGAGATTCTCGCGAGTTTCGTGGGGGTCCTCTGGCCTCGGGCTGCTTCCCATCAACTACGGCGCGGGCATTGGATAAGGAACCCTTAGAGATCAGGAATCCAGGGTCTGAGGCCAGTGCAAAGCCAATCGTGGGTTGGCCATGGATGTCACCGCCGCCCTCATCAGAGAAGGAGCCCGCCAGGGTCGGGAGCCCCCTGGGCACACTCCTTAACGAACGCCCCCACCGTATGCCTCGTTGCGGCGGCGTGGACAGCGCATCCTTTTCAACATGAACAGGACCTGCTGTTGGGCATTGTACCCATTTTTGTCCGTACCCATGTCGAGCGTCCAGATTCCGGGAAACCCTTCATCGTCCGAAACGGCAGCCTGGGGGCTGAGCTGCGGCCTGGGAAGCAACCAGGGCATCCTCCTCCTCCTCCGCCATGCCTCTTCCTTGTATGTAAGTAACTCCTCCTGTCGCGGGGGGGACGAAGGGGTAGGATAGCAAAGGGCAGGGTAGAGAATCAGTTCACATAGCTGGTCGTTCCAACGTTTTCTGGCGTCAGGAGGCGCCCATGTATTGATTAATAGGCCCGGCGGCCGGGCCGAAACCAGCTGCATGCAGCAGATTTCGTTCCCCCCTCCTTCCCCTATCCTACCCTTTCGTCTTGCCTGGCTGTCGCGCCATCAGTCGTGTCATTGGGGCTGGCTGGGCGTTTCGCTTGGGAATTCTCACCGTCTGCGATTTTGAAGCTTGCAGTATCCGAAAGCGACGCGGATAGAGGGCGAATCGTTCTTTCATGAGGCTCTCACCTCGTTTTCAAAATGGGGCTCTCGCCTAGACCCCGAGCGTACTCGTCTCGAGCCCAACTCCAACCAGTACACTGATGGGGGGCGCGTCGTTTTCAAACAGGTCTTCCGCCTGGGCGCCGCGCACACTCGCGTGAAAACGCTGAACGCGTACACTGATAAAAGAAGGGCTGGCCCTCTTCAAAGTGGGGTCCTCGCCTCGGCACCCCGCACACATTGTCGAACACGGGCGCGGCAGCTTTCCGGGAGTGGAGGGTGGGCCTCTTGTCAGAACGGGCCTCTGGCCTTGCCGCCGAGCATGCTCGTCCGAAAGCGAGTCCGACAGGTGCACGGTGGAAGGCGATTCCTCGCGTCAAGATGGGCCCATCACCAGGAGAGTTTCTGAGCTTCCGTTGCCTCACGTATCATCTTGGGCAGCAGCAGCTGCGCGTGTGGAGGGGGATTCCTTTTTTTCAGAAGGGGTGCCCTCCCCCGGGACTCTGTCATGCCTGAGGACACAGAGAGGACTGATACTGCGGAGCAGTTGCTAAGGTTAGGTCCCGCATGTCCCCCTGCAGGTGGATTTTGGGTGAAAAAACAGAATACCCCAAAACATGCCATCAACAAACATTAAAATGGTAGAACAATCGTCCCCATACTATGCTTTGACTCTTCTTGACTATTCCCCCTGTAGGGGGACACGCCCGACTTCAGACTAGAGGTGGAGGGTGAGTCCCTCTCAGCGCAGGGGAGGCTGTCGCTGGGCACACGCCGAGACGCACCGCATGACCCCCTCCTCGTCGCATGGACTCGTCGCTCGAAGGGGTAAAGGCGACGCCTCTCAGAGCGGCGCCCTCCCACCCGATAAATTCGTGCCCGTGCGGCGCTCGTCGATTCAGGGAGGGGCGCTTTTTTGCACGGTGGCAAACGGTGCTCGCGAGGACGGGCAAGAAGGGACTTGGCACGGAACTCTGCACTGCATCGTTCATGCATCGTGTTTCTACTCTGGTCCTCTTGCTCCTCCTCCTCCTCCTCCTTCTTCTTTATCTCCTTCTCTCCTCCTCCTCCTCCTCCTACTCCTCCGCCTCCTCCTCATCCACCTCCTTTCCCCCCCTCCTCCTCCTCCTCCTCCTCCTCCTCCTCCTCCTGCTCCTGCTCCTCCTTCCTCTCCTCCTCCTCCTCCTCCTCCTCCTCCTCCTCCTCCTCCTCTCCTCCCCCTTCCCCTCCTCCTCCTCCTCCTCCTCCTCCTCCTCCTCCTCCTCCTCCGTTCCTCCCTTCCTCTCCCCCTTCTCGTTTTCCTCCTCCTGTGCCTCCTCCGCCTCCCCGTTCCGTGACAATCCCCTCGCCTCCCCTCCGCCCCGAAAGATTTGAGGGTCAGCAGGAGGGGGGAGCCCGCTTCGCAAGGGATGCGTTCGGGCCGCCCCCGAGTCCTGCGCGCCCTGCATGTGCGCCGCGGTGTCGCTCCTGCTTTTGCCTGAGCCTCCGGCCTACGCGCGTGGCAAATTCGAGCCGAGAAGCTGCGGAGCGGACGCCGCATGCTGCCCTCTCCTCCTCCCAGCACCTCCCAGCTTCTCCCAACTCCTCCTCCCTCCTCCTCCTCCTGCTCCTCCTCCTTCTCCCTCTCCTCCTCCTCCTCCTCCTCCTCCTCCTCCTCCTCCTCCTCCTCCTCCTGCTGCTGCTGCTTGCTGCTGCTGCTGCTGCTGCTGCTGATCTCCTCCTCCTCCTCCTCTCCTGCTCCTCCTCCTCCTGCTCCTCCTCCTCCTCCTCCTCCTCCTCCTCCTCCTCCTCCTCCTCCCCCCCCCCCCCCTCCTCCTCCTCCCTCCTCCTCCTCCTCCTCTCCCTCCTCCTCCTCCTCCTCCTCCTCCTGCTCCTCCTCCTCCTCCTCCTCCTCCTCCTCCTCCTCCTCCTCCTCCTCCTCCTCCCTTCTTCCTCCCTTCTTCCTCCGCCTCTTTCCTCTCTCTCTCCTGCCTCCTCCCCCCTCGTGCCTCCCTCTTCTGCCTCCTCCAGGGGGAGGTTGGGTACCCGAACTGGAGCAGAAGGGCACTGGCTGGCGAGAGTCCTCCTCCTTCTCCTCCTTTTCCTCCTCCCCGTCATGCTGGGGTTCCTGCTACTCAGCCTCCTCCGTCTCCATTCATGTCCTCATGTCCCTTATGAATAACTCTTCCGTGTCGCACCCCGAGACGTGTCGGTGGGGCGGGCCGAGCATTTCGTCTGAGACTTCTTCACTAGTCATGATCCGCAAGATTAAATTGTGCAACGGGTTCACAGATGGAGGACGGGTTGTTTTCAACGTGTGTGTGGCTCTCGCAGTAGCGCCTCGCACATTCGTCTTAAAAGTTTGCAGGGGCTTCACGGATGGAAGTTGGTTGTTCCTTTTTTGAACTGTGGCTCTCGCCTTCGCGGCGCGCGCATTCGTCTAAAGAGTTTACAGTCATTTCAAGGGTTCTTATCGCTGACGTTCAAGAAATCCACCGACACTGTCGGCGTGTGGAAGAGGCTGTTCCGTTTGACTCGTCCTCGTCGTCGTCGTGGTCGTTGTTGTCGTCGTCGTCGCTGTCGCCATCGCTGGTCCCCTCTCTCTCCCTTTCCCTGAGCCTGGCGCCGCTGCCTCCACTTTCACCGGGCCCTCCTCCTCGAGCGCGCCAGCAATTGAGCAGCGCTGTAGTTGAGTCGTAGGGAAGCCCCTTCCCTTTGATCCCTTTCCCGCCGGGGGGGGGGGGTCCCGGGGGGGGGTCCCGGGGGAGGTCCTGGGGGGGGGTCCCGGGTCAGATACGACTCCCCTCCGGGCGGTTCGGGAGCCCAGACAACCCCCAAGACGTAGCAAAAGTGCCCCGAGAGGCCCCCAAGAATGTCCTCGAGGGCCCCAAATCGCCGAAGTATCCGTCCAAGTCGGGATAGCCTCCAGACAGTTCGGAAGTTCCCAATCCAAGGGCACTCCCAAGAGGGCCCCAAGAAGCAAAAATTATAGATCCCCCTTAGGTTTGGAAAGATTTGGGCATTCTCGCCTTGTCAGCTTCCCGACGCTCCAAGACAGGCCAAGAGGCCCCCAAGACCGCCCCGACATCGCCCAAGACGCCTCCAAGATAGCCCAAGAGGTCCCCAAGACGGCTCCAAGAGAGAGCCCAGACTGGAGACTCGACCGGACATTTCGAACCCTCGGCCTCAGAAGCTCCCAGGAGGCCCCCATAGGCCCCTAAGAAGCTCCACGCGAGGCCCCAAGAGGCTCCCATCATTCCCCCCCGCCTGCTCCCTCAACTGCCTCCTCCACCCTTCCTCCCTCTCCACCTCCTCCTCCTCCCCCCCCCCCCCGCTTTCCATATTCGTGGCCTCCAGGGTCGGCGGCACAGGCCATAAGTAAGGCCTTCGCAAACATATTCTGCCACGATGTAAGACTGCCAGGGCGCAACAGTCACGTTTATTCGCGGAGTTGAGATCCCAGGGACGGTCTTCTGGATTCAGGATCGTGAGAACGCAACAGTAACGTTGGTTCGCGGCGTTGAAGTCCCAGGAATGGTGTTCGGACACGGCTCAGGATTTTCAAACGATTGTCTGCCAACGGGGCATTTCCCTCAGTGAAAATATACGGGGCTATGAAGAGGGAGCTTGAAGGGATGGTTTATTGCATCAAGTTGATGAATTTTGGGTTTACATTGGTCCTCCTCCTCCTCCTCCTCCTCCTCCTCCTCCTCCTTCTCCTCCTCCTACTTCTAGGACTCGTAGTCCTCAACCTCCTCCGCCTGCTCCTCCGCCTCCTCCTCCTTTTCCCCTTCTTCTCCTCTTCCTCCTCCTCCTCCTCCTTCTCCTCCCTCTTCCCATCCCTCCTAGTCCTGCCATCCTCTCGGCGCGTCGCTGTGGCGGCTCCGAGCCGCGAAACGTGACCAAACCACTCCCTCGACGCGGCTGCCGGGGACGGTGCAGGGGCATCAGCCCAGCCGGGCCGTCAACACACTGCTCAGGATGATTACTTGACGCGGAGTTCCCCACAGGTGCATCTCATTTTCCTGGTACTTCTCCTTGGGAATGGCTGGCTCCGAGCGCCTTAGTGCGAGAGTCCGAATGGTCCTGCCCCCTCGGGGTGCTGAAACCAGTGCTTCGCTCGAACCATCCTTACAAGCTGCTCTGAAAGCAGAGAAGTCTAAGCCACCAAAAAGGCAAACTAGTCAAGGCATCCCCACACATTGGCCGCAAACGGGCGAGTGAGATACCCCGTGTCGGCTCCCTCCTTCAGGTGCTGAACTGCAACCCTGGCGGTTCCTCCTTGGAGCGCCCAAGTGCCACGCTTCTTTATCGCGGTGAAACTTGGACCACCAAAAAAGAGAACTGGGGAAAGCGAAACAGGCAAGCCGCTTAAAACATCCCCGCTATCTGGGCGGGAAGGATGGAATGCCCCCACCCCTGGCGGCTCCCCCTTGCGGTGCACAGGTGCCGCGCCTGCTGTATCGCGGTGAACATTGGACCACCAAGAGAGCAGTCGGAGGGCCAAGAAAGCAACCGCTTGAGACGTCCCCACAATCTGGGCGTGAAAGATGGGAGCCCCCACCCGTGGCGGCTCCACCTTGGGGCGGCTGAATGCCGCCTGGTTTCTCGCACTAGGCAGTGGACCACCCATCGAGAAAACTTGTGGGGGGCGAACCAGGCAAGCCGCCTGAGGCATCCCCCGAATCTGGGCGCGAAGAATGGAATGTTCTCAGCCCTGGCGGCTACCGCTTGCGGTGCCTGAGTGCCACGCCTGCTTTATCGCAGTGCGCATTGGTTCACCAAGACAGATGTCCAGGACTGCTGAAAAAGGCAGGCCGACTGAGCCATCCCCCAAATCTGGGCGCGAAGAATGAAATGTCCACACCCCTAGCGGGCCCCACGTGGGACGCCTAAATGCCACGCCTGCTATATCTGATTTTGGCTGAAACTGAAAGTGAGTGAGTCTGAAGATGCGAGGGTCTGAGTATGAGTGGTCTGAGTGTGAGTGAGCCTGAGCGTGGTTGAGTCGTAACGAGAGTGACTCTGAGTATGAGAGGGTCTGAGTAGGAATAAACTTGAACGCGTGTGAGTTTGCGAACGAGGCGGGAAGGAGCGAGGCGGAGGAGTTTTTCCAGCAGTTTCATTTCTCACATGGTGAGTTTCCGCCGCGCCTCGTCGCCCGAGCTTCCCCTCTGCAGCACCTCGGGCGGACGTCCACACTCCAGTGACCTGTCCGCGCGTAGGAACCTCTGCTTCTCACACTTCTCACAATCTGCGCTCCCCTCTCCAGCTTCGCACGCGCGGCGTATCCTGACGCTTTTGCTCGAAGCCTTCGCCCTCGTGACCCTCAGGAGCAGCATGTTGTCGACATCTGCTCTGAGGGGCCACGTGGGCCTCCCGTTCGACCCTGTGATGGTGAACGTGCCGCTTTTCTTACCATCTGGGTGGAGATATCTTTGATATCGCCTCTCCACCTTCTTCTGGTCAGCCTTAGGGAATGGCCCCCACTTTCCATGTACGTCCTCCGCTTCACATTGGATTCCAACACTGTAGCTGATGGCATCGGGCTCTACCGCTTCGCCGCCTTCTAGCCACGTCCTGGCGATTTGGGTGCGTGCTCTCCACATGGCCCTGCTGACGCTGTAGCTACTCGCACACTCCGTTTTCTCGGATCCAGCCGTGGCGACAAGGTGGGACGAGGAGGAGCTAGGGATATAGGGCTCTAGCTTCGCCCCCGCCGTCTCCTTCCATTTCTCGCACTGCTCGCTGGGCTCTATCTTCGCCTTCCCATTCTCGCACGCCCTGATCCCAGCGCTGTAGCTGACGGTGTCGGGCTCTACCTTCGCCTTCCACTCCTCGCGCGCGCTGTTCCCAATGCTGTGGCTCCTAATATCTGGCTCTATCTCCGCCTTACACTTATCGCACTTTCCGGAGCGAGGGGGAGAAGAAGGAGGAGGAGGATGGGAGGAAGAGAAGGAGAAGGACTTAATCAAGTGTGTGAGTGACTTAGGATATGGGGAAAAGCAGTTCCCCGTGGTTCAGACCTCAGGGGAGCCACGTTCTTTGAGCGAGATCACGACGCCGGACGCCTGGAGCAACGGGAAGGCTGAGCAGATGATCGCCAGAAGTGAAGGGGATCGTGAGGGAAGGGGGCCCTTGGCCGCGGAGACATCCCCAAGAGGGAGGCGGCCCAGAGGGGGGCGTCCAAGAGGGGGGCGTGCAAATCATGGCCCGCGGCATGTGCGCGGCCCAAGGAGGAGCCAGGGATGCAATGAAATACGAGGAGGCGCCATGAACTCTGAGGGAGATATCATAGCCCACGCCATGATATCCCCCCCCCCCGTAGTCCTCACCCCCCTCTTTTCGGGGATGGACAGAACCCCCTTTAGTAAAACGTGGTTTAGTGAAAACGACCTCGGGCCCAAACCTGGCGGGCAAAAAGCCTGGAAAATGACGGCCGCGGCGCCCTCTCGAGAACCGAACACGGACGATTCACTAATCGACGTGTCGGGGTGGGGGTTCTGTCCCCCCCCGATCACCCCCCTCTTTGCCGCCCCCGACCCAAGGCCAACTGCTCCTCCGGAGCCGTTCGTCGCGGCCCCGGGGCCCGTGGAGGGGGCTCCTGGGGCCCGGCGGCGGCAGGCAAGGCTTCGGGGCCCCCCTCCTCTCCTCGAGGGCACGTGCCCTCCGATCATGCAGAGGCGACGAGGGTTACCAGATCACGGACCTGCATGGAGCAAGGAACACCTCGATGACGATGATGATGATGATGATGATGATGATGATGATGATGATGATGATGATGATGATGATGATGATGATGATGATGATGATGATGATGATGATGATGATGATGATGATGATGATGATGATGATGATGGATGATGATGATGATGATGATGAATGATGATGATGATGATGATGATGATGATGATGCTGCTAATGATGATGATACTGATGATGATGATCATCATCATCATCACCATCACCATCATCATAATCATCATCAGCAGCATCAGCATCAGCATCAACATCATCATCATCATAATCATCATCATCGAACATCATCATCATCATCAACATCAACATCAACATCAACATCAAGATCAACATCAGCATCATCATCATCATCATCATCATCATCATCAGCATCATCATCATCATCATCATCAACATCAACATCGTCGTCATCATCGTCATCATCATCATCACCATCATTCTCCTCTGTCCGCGCCCCGCTTTTCTCCGTCCCTCCGCCTGTCCCTTCGCGCTGCCCCCTCCACCCCGCGTGCGCGAGCGCGCCTTCAAAAAGGGCCCCGTCGGACCTTCTCTGGAGTGCCATGTGGCCAAGAATCCGAGGTGGATCAAGACGTGTCGACTTCGATTCACAGGTGGCCCGAAAGGTCGATGAAAGTCAGAATCATGTTTACGCTGCGCGCAGACAGCCCTCACAGAGAGTCCCGGATGGTCTCATGCGGCCCGCCGAACAGCCGTGGCGGCATCAACGCCACAACCCTGGGGAGCGTGGGGCCCAGTGGCGCCGCCGCAAGCGGCTCGGTGGTATCTAGATTGCCCCTATATAGCATTGAACTGCCTCGAGGGGCTGTGTGCACGCAGCCCCAAACCTGGACAAACTCGTCCCTCTTCTTGTTCCCACAATTGGCGCGGGGCGCCTGCACCTCCACGAAGGAAAGCCCCGGAAACTCCCCTAAACGTTAGTGGAGGTCACAGGAGACATCCCGACGTCTCCAAAGGCGTCGGGGGCCCCACAGAGGCCTCTCGAGCCAGGAGTTCGGAGGCCTTCAGGAGCTTCTCTGAAGTAAGGAAACGCATACGCCATGACTTCGCACGTGGGCCCCCGAACACCCCCCATTCTTTCCTCCCCCAGACAGGCGTTTCCTCGGGAGAATGTCTTTTAACAGACCCGTGGCCCCGTCAGGGTCACCGAACACGGAAAGTTGTCAAGAACATGCGGTCGCGATTTCCGCGCGACGCAGATGAGTCTGGGCTCCCCTCGGCACCTCCCCGTGGGGCTCATCCTGTTCCTTGCCTGCTGCCTTCCCCTGTCCTCCCCCGCCTGCCTGCCCGCCCGCTTTGCCCCGTTGGCTAAAGCCCCCCAGCCTTCTCCTCCTACTCCTGATCTCCCTCATCCTCCTCCTCTTCCCTCCTGCTACTCCTCATGTTCCTCCTCCTCCTCCTCCTCCTCCTCTTCCTCCTCCTCCTCCTCCTCCTCGTCCTCCTCCTCCTCTTCCTCCTCCCCCTCTCCTCCTCCTCATCCTCCTCCCCCTCCTCCTCTTCTTCCTCCTCCTCCTCCTCTTCTTCCTCCTCCTCCTCTTCCTCCTCTTCCTGTTCCTGCTCATCCTCTGTCGTTTGGCTTCTTCTCCTGTCCTCGCCTCTTCCCCCCCGCCCAATAACGCAGGCTGCCAGGTGTTGACGGCCCGGGGCGGCCCCTTGGTTGGGGGCTCCTGAAGCTCTCGGCCAGCCTCTCCACGTTCCGGTCGTAGCTCCGCAGGGAGCGGAAGTGCTCGGGGGCGGCGCCGCCGCCAGGGGGCCTTCTCAGGCGAGGGGGGTGCGTGGCTGGGCTTGGCGGGAGGGAGGAGGAGAAGGCAGGGGCAGGAGGTAGGGAGAAAGTCAGGGGGGGGGATGATGAGGGGCGGGGGCAAGAGGAAGGAGGGAGGCAAGAAGGCAGGGAGGGAGGCAAGGAGGGAGGGAGGGAGGCAGGCAGGAGGAAAGGGAGAAGGCTTTCCTGTTTGCTGCCGCCCCTCCCTCCGCAGTCTTCGTTGACCCTGCTGCAAATGTAACAAAACGGTGGCAACAATAATATGCATCGGTTTTACAATGAACGGGCAACACCAGTTCGCGAGTGTGTGTGTGTGTGTCCTGCACCGCCATGAGGCGGTGATCAGTGCTTCACCCCAATGTCGACAGTTGGCACAAGAACATGGGTTTCACATTGAAGCGCCCCACTCGGCCTGGTAGTCCACGTCGGGTTCGCTACGTGTAACATTATATGAACTTGCACGGTTGCAAATGATTGAGCCGAATGGGCAGCGTTCACATTGAGATGTATACATGCATACTGGGCGAGCGATCTGATTCTTGTGCCTAGTCCAAAAGACAGCGCGTGGGTGGCAAGGACTGAATTGAATGTGATGCATGGCGTCAACGACAGACCGGTGCAAAACACGTGGCTGGAGCGGGCTCTCCGCGTTATGTTTTGCCACACCAGCTCTGTCAAACACATCAGTCTCAAACTAGCTCAGTTATGGTGCGGCAGGCCTGAGAGAGGGAATAGGTCGTGCAATGTTCAATGTTTAGCTGCCACCCACATACCCCTTGCCCTGAGAGGTGCCGACCTTGGCCTTTCACCCGGCTCATTGCCCTTGCACGCGTCCATGCGCGTGAGCTCCTTCTCACGGTCACGCTTCTGGGTGTACATGCGATCCCTGGCGTCTGGCTCCACGAAGCGGTCATCGTTCCAGGCGTCATACTGTCATACTCCTCGTCGCTGTCACGCCAGGTCCCCATCTGGTTATCGCGGTCGCCCAAGGGCTTCTCGCAGGCGGGCGGATCGTTCATCCCACTAAACCAACCTCATGCTTCCCAGTAAATGAAATCGGAATGCATTATGAGGGCGTGGCCCACCTCATGTTACGATCTTCCAGATGCTGCTCGTGCGCTGTCCCCGAGTGAGGGTTGTTCGCCCAAGACTGGTTGATGCACATAGGTTACGGTCACGCGATAGGATTTGAGCCTGCCAGAGGAGTTTCACATCCAAGCGAATGCCCCGGTTAAAGGGATGCCAGTGATACCAGGCGTCGGTCCTCCGGTTATGCATCGGCCTGAAGGAATCTTCCCTGCACATGGTCGGTGCCAAGTTAGCTCGGGTGCGTCCACCATGTCGGTCTCGCAAGCGTGAGGTGCCCCCGAGATGCCAACGAAGTTATTGTAGAGAACCTCCGAGCCATCACCAGTGGCGCGATCCAGCGAACGTGGTCAACATCCTGCCGCTCACCGAACGGGCCAAAGCAGTATGGATGGGAAGAGTGCCGATCAAGGTGCTGTAAGGTGCGCTGGGCAAGGCCAAAAGAGTCCAGGAAACGAAATTGCAACCATGGGCGTCGGCAGCTGGATCAGCTGGGTCAGTACTGGCGATCTTGAGACAGCTGCTGAAACGGGGTGCGATATCGGCGACAAAATGGACCCCATGCAACGGCGCGGAGTTGGATCTGTACGACGGGGTCAGCCCCAGATCCCTGAAACACCTCATCCAGGAAGCCGTGGTCGAGTGGCAGGTCAGGCAGGTGGCAGCGCGCGACGGGCTCGAGAATGGAGCAAGGGATCCACATCGAACCGCTCAGAAACACCATCGGAAGCCTACATCGACGAAGGCTCGAACGTGAGACGAAGGACTTGCGGTCAACCATAATTGGCGCCCAGCGGACGCGGGAAAGGCTCTACAAAGCCAGCATGGCGGAGACCGGTGCGTGTCTGGGGGAGGGGGCTGCTTCCCAACTGGCACCAAGGGCCGAAGCCCAAGAAAGTACGGCAAGTTGTATGGAGCAGAGGAAATTCAGGGAGGAGTGTTCACTGAAGATGGCTTCGTCGACGGCTCGGGCATGAACCTGTTCGAGATGAGCGAGATGAGGGTAGGGATCGGATGCGCGGCAATCGACCATCTAGGACGAGTCAAGGGAGCCTGTCACGGCCCGAAGCCAGGCTGGCTGCAGGAGGTTGGCGAAGGCGAGCTCTTCGCAGTCACAAAGTTTCGATGCTCCACCAGATCATGCCATGCCGCCGTTCACGAAGTACTCCGACTACCAGAACCTGCTGGGCGGCACCGCTGCGGGGCCAACATGTTGCCGCTAGGCCGCCGACTCATGCGCGGAGCCGTCGGGGTGAACATGGAGGCTAATCGCGAACAG